GTTGCTGAGTCCTGGGAACTGGTCTGAGTGAGGCGACGTTGCTGAGATTGCCGCACCACAACCTAATTAACCCAATTAACCTAACCCAGCTGATCCAATCAAATCCCTAAAAATATTGAAAGTTACTTCAGTGTAGCTTCCGGGGACCTGGGACGCCCGCACACAGCATTACATTAAATTCTTCACTAGTAAATCAGATAAAATACTGATGTCTCTTTGGAGATGCATCTCACCAGCTTCGTCTCTCGCGGTTCGGTATGTAATTAATACCTGCTGGTGGTTACACCAGCGGAGGATTACTCGTGGTATCTTTGTTGTGTGTAGTTATTCAAGGAAAGCAGTGCTCGTGGTGTTCCGTTCTCAGTGTTTGTAGTACACGAGCAGAACTATGCTCGTGGTGTCCCACCTTGTGTGTTTGTAGAGATTAGCAGAACTATACTCGCAGTGTCTCACCGTCAGCGTGTCTAGAGACCAGCAGAACAATACACAGATGACACGCATATAGGAGAGAGAAAAGCTTACGGCGACGTTTCGGTCCGACTCTGTAAATGATCCAAGTCAGACCGAAACGTTGTAAGGTCCTCTCTCTCCTATGTGCGGGTTATTTATGTATTGTTCCAGTCACGGTATTGTGACTTTGTGTTCTCTAGTAGAGCCGTGCTCGCGGTGTTCCGTCTTCAGTGCTTGTAGTACACGAGCAGAAATATGTTCGTTGTACACCGTTATCAGTGTTTGTAGCTGTAGGAGCAGAACTATGCTCTTGGTGTTCCACCTTCAGTGTTTGCAGCACTCTAGCACTCCAACACTCTACCACTGCATCACTCTACCAATGCATCATTTTACCACTGCTGCACTCTACCACTGCTGCACTCTTCCACTGCATCACTCTACCACTGCATCACTTTACCACTGCATCACTCTACCACTGCATCACTCTACCACTGCATCACTCTACCACTGCATCACTCTACCACTGCATCACTCTACCACTGCATGACTCACGAAATCGTAATGACACGATTGCAAACAAACCATACCACGGGGAGGGATTTGAACCCGCGGTCAGAGTCTCAAAACTCCAGACCGTCGCGTTAGCCACTGGACCAGCTAGCATCACTCCATCACTGCTGCACTCTGCCACTCCAACACTCTACCACTGCATCACTCTACCACTGCATCACTCTACCACTGCTGCACTTTACCACTGCATCACTCAATCACTGCATCAATTTACCACTGCATCACTCTACAACTGGTGCACTCTAGCACTCCAACACTCTACCACTGCATCACTCTACCACTGCATGATTCTACCACTGCATCACTTTACCACTGCATCACTTTACCACTGCATCACTCTACCACTGCATCACTCTACCACTGCATCACTCTACCACTGCATCACTTTACCACTGCATCACTCTACCACTGCATCACTCTACCACTGCATCACTCTACCACTGCATCACTCTACCACTGCATCACTCTACCACTGCATCACTTTACCACTGCATCACTCTACCACTGCATCACTCTACCACTGCATCACTTTACAACTGCATCACTCTACCACTGCATCACTCTACCACTGCATCACTCTACCACTGGTGCACTCTAGCATTCCAACACTCTACCACTGCATCACTCTACCACTGGTGCACTCTAGCATTCCAACACTCTACCACTCCAGCACTCTACCACTCAAGCACTCTACAAATCCAGCACTCTACTACTCAAGGACTCTTATCACTGCAGCACTCTACCACTGCAGCACTGTACCACTACAGCACTGTACCACTGCAGCACTCTACCACTGCAGCACTCTACCACTGCAGCACTCTTCCACTGCAGCACTCTACCACTACATCACTCTATCACTCCAGCAATCTACAACTGCAACACTCTACCAGTGCAGCATTCTACCACTCCAGCAATCTACCACTGCATCACTCTACCACTGCAGCACTCTGCTACTCCAGCACTATACCCCTGCAGCACTCTACTACTTTAGCATTCTAAAACTCTAGCACCTTACCACTGCAGCACTCTACCACTGCAGTACTCTACCACTGCATCACTCTATCACTGCATAATTCTACCACTGCAGCACTCTACCACTACAGCACTCTACCACTCCAATACTCTATCACTCTAATACTCTACCACTGCAGGACTCTACCACTCCAGCACTCTTCTACTCAAGCACTCTACCACTGCAGCACTTTACCACTGCAGCACTCTACTACTCAACCACTCTAACACTGCAGCACTCTACTACTCAACCACTCTAACACTGCAGCACTCTACCCCTCCAGCACTCCACCACTCTAGCACTCTACCATTGCAGTACTCTACCACTCCAGCACTCTACCACTCTAGCATTCTACTTCTCAAGCACTCTACCACTGCATCACTCCAGCACTCTGCCACTCCAGCACTCTACCACTTCAGCACTGTACGACTCTAGCACTCTTCCACTGCAGTACTCTACCACTGCACCACTCTACCACTGCACCACTCTACCACTCTAGCACTCTACTACGCAAGCACTCTACCACTGCAGCACTCTACCACTCTAGCACTCGACCACTGTAGCACGCTACAACTGCAGCACTCTCCCACTCCAGCACTCTACCACTCTAGTACTCTACCACTACAGCACTCTGACACTGCATCACTCTACCACTGCACCTCTCTACCACTGCAGCACTCTACCAGTGCAGCACTCTACCACTGCAGCAATCTACCACTCTAACACTCTACCACTGCACCACTCTACCACTGCAGCACTCTACCACTCTAGCACTCTACTACTCAAGCACTCTGCCATTACAGCACTCTACCACTGCAGCACTCTACCACTGCAGCACTCTACCACTCTAGCACTCTACTGCTCAAGCACTCTACCTCTGCAGCACTCTACCACTCCAGCACTCTACCACTGTAGCACTCTACCACTGCAACACTCTACCACTCCAGCACTCTACCACTCTAGCACTCTGCCACTTCAATCACTCTACCACTCCAGCACTCTACCACTGCAGTGCTCTACCACTGCAGCGCTTTACCACTCCAGCACTCTACCACTGCAGCACTCTACCACTGCAGCACTCTACCACTCCAGCACTCTGCCACTCTAGCACTCTACCACTGCATCACTCTACCACTCCAGCACTCTTCCACTGCAGTACTCTACACTGCAACACTTTACCACTGCAGCAGTCTACCACTCCAGCACTCTACCACTGCATCACTCTACCACTGCAATACTCTACCACTGCAGCACTCTACCACTGCAGCACTCTACAACTCAAGCACTCTACCACTCCAGCACTCTACCACTGCATCACTCTACCACTGCAGTACTCTACCACTGCAACACTCTACCACTCCAGCACTCTGCCACTCTAGCACTCTACCACTAAATCACTCTACCAATGCAGCACTCTACCACTGCAGCACTCTAACCTCTCCAGCACTCCACCATTCCAGCACTCTACCACTACGGCACTCTACCACTCCAGCACTCTACCACTCTAACACTCTACCACTCCAGCACTCTACCACTCTAACACTCCAGCACTGCAGCAATCTACCATTCCAGCACCCTACCACTCCAGCATTTTACCACTCCAGCACTCTACCACAGCAGCACTCTACCACTGCATCACTATACTACTCAAGCACTCTAATACTCCAGCACTCTACCACTCTAACACTCTACCACTGTAGCACTCTACCACTCTAACACTCTACCACTCTAACACTCTACCACTATAGCAATCTACCACTCCAGTACTCTACCACTCCAGCACTCTACCACTGTAGCACTCAACCATTCCAGCACTCTACCACTGTAGCACTCAACCATTCCAGCACTCTACCACTGCAGCACTCTACCACTGAAGCACTCTACCACCCAGCACTCTACTACTCATGCACTTTACCACTGCATCACTCTACCATTTCAGCACTCTACCACTCCAGCACTCTACCACTGCAGCACTCTACCACTGCAGCACTCTACCACTGCAGCACTCTACCACTCCAGCACTCTACCACTCCAGCACTCTACTACTCATGCACTCTACCACACCAGCACTCAACCACTGTAGCACTCTACCATTTCAGCACTCTACAATTACAGCACTCTACCACTGTAACACTACCACTGCAGCACTCTACCACTGCAGCACTCTACCATTTCAGCACTCTACCACTGCAGCACTCTACCACTGCAGCACTCTACCACTGCAGCACTACCACTGTAGCACTCTACCACTCCAGTACTCCACCACTCCAGCACTCTAATACTCTATCACTATAGCACTCTACCACTCCAGCACTCTGACACTCCAGCACTCTACTACTCATGCACTCTACCACTGCAGCACTCTACGACTGTAGGACTCTACCATTCCAGCACTCTGCCACTCCAGCACTCTACCATTGTAGCACTCTAGCACTCCAGCACTCTACCACTGTAGAACTTTTGCACTCCAGCACTCTACCACTGTAGCACTTTTCCACTCCAGCACTCTGCCACTCCAGCACTCTACCATTGTAGCACTCTAGCACTCCAGCACTCTACCACTCCAGCACTCTGCCACTCCAGCACTCTACCACTGTAGAACTTTTGCACTCCAGCACTCTACGACTGTAGGACTCTACCATTCCAGCACTCTACCACTACAGCACTCTACCACTGTAGCACTCTTCCACTCCAACACTCTACCACCACAGCACTCTACCACTGCATCACTCTATCACTGCATAACTCTACCACTGCAGCACTCTACCACTACAGCACTCTACCACTCCAGTACTCTATCACTCTAATACTCTACCACTGCAGGTCTCTACCACTCAAGCACTCTACTACTCAAGCACTCTACCACTGCATCACTCTACCCCTCCAGCACTCCAACACTCTAGCACTCTACCATTGCAGCACTCTACCACTCCAGCACTATACCACTCTTGCATTCTACTTCTCAAGCACTCTACCACTGCATCACTCTACCACTGCAGCACTCTGCCACTCCAGCACTCTACCACTGCAGCACTCTGCCACTGCAGCACTATAACACTCCAGCACTATACCACTCTTGCATTCTACTTCTCAAGCACTCTACCACTGCATCACTCTACCACTGCATCACTCTACCACTGCAGCACTCTGCCACTTCAGCACTGTACGACTCTAGCACTCTTCCACTGCAGTACTCTACCATTGCACAACTCTACCACTGCAC